GCGCGGGACCCCTCCCACCCCCCAGCCCCGCTTAGATTTACGAGCTCAGGCTCGGCCTTCAGGAATTAGGAATATTTATGCTTCTTTGAGAGTGAGGTTTGGAGGGTGATAAATAAGGGGCCGCTGGGGTGCGGTGGGGGCTCCTATTTCGGACACGGCCACTTTCCCAGAGACCCCACCAGCGGCTCCCTCTAATCTCAAGCCAGAGGGAGCTCCGGGGCTGTGGGTGGTGGGCCTCCCATAGCAGTAAGAGAGTTAGAATGGTTCGGCCCTTACGAGCCCCCTCCGACGCCTGCGGAGTTTTGCAGCAGATAGGATGGAAGGCAGATCAGGGAGGAACTTTGTGAGCATTCTGTCGTTCCTGGAGACCCTGGAGGGCAGTTACAGCCTCTCTGCAGAGGTCTGGGAGAAGTCTGCTTCTATGTCTCTAAACTCAGTTGCTGAAGAAAGAATGGGGGAGAGGAGCTAGCAAGCAGGTTTTTCGGGGTTGACATCTCCCTCACAGAGAAGGGATTTGAAATCTCCCACCGAGCCCACACCACAGCCTGGATCCTTGGGAAAGGAGGCTAGGAATGTAGCACCCAACGTATCTCCTAGGAGCCCCTGATACCGACCTTTCCACCCCCACTGCTAGCTGAGAATTAAAAACACTCCTTGTCCTGGGCCTCCAGGAAAAGGGGGAGGGGGTGTTTAAGGATCCACGTGTTTTCTCCAGCCCTCAACTCCTGGGCAGCAGTGTCTTTGCTATAGGCTTGAAGAGGTAGCAGACAAAGGCCAGGACATAAGGGAGGTCTACAGAGAACTGGGGAAGTCACCCTGGCCCCACCCATGCCCTGGGTGACACTGGCCTCAGCAAGGATGGCCACAGCATACATATACACAGGCACCAACTTGCTGCCCTCACCTCCCCCAATGAGAGGAGGGAAAGAGAAGGGTCTAGACTGGCCCTTTAAGAGCCACTTAGGGTCAGAAAGCCTGGCCTGCAGAGAGAGGAAGGAGCTGATGTCAGAAGACGGATGGGCAGCAAGATGGGGATTGATGCTAATGGGGGAGTTAAAGCTAAGTACCCAGACACTCAGAGGGCAAAACTGCAGATCTGTCTTCCTTATGCTCACCTCCCCCCAACACCAAGGCTGTAAATCTGCCTCCTCAATCGAGGGAAGGGGGAGTAAGGAAAAAAGACAGGATCTCCTCTCTTTTCCTGCCCCCCTCCCAATTCTTTTGTTTTCTCCCAATCCATTACCCTTCCCAGTAAAATTTCCACCTTCTAGCATTTCATCAGAAACCGAGACAATGATTGCTCCTTGTAGAGGAGTCTGAGAGTAAACCCAAACTTTTCCCTCATCAGCCCTGGGTAGGAATGGGTTGCTGGGTCTGAGATGAAGGCTCAGTGGTTCTTCTACCTTGCTCTTGCATAGTGTTTACTCTAGTGCCTGTCCTTCTCTGCAAACAGCAGGTTAAGGCAGGAAGCAGGGTGTTGGATTCCAGGGGCACCAAGATTTTGGAGGGGCCTTCAAGGGTAGCTAGTGTAGCTAGTAGGGGAAGTTCGGATCCACCCACAGAAGACACAGTCTGGTTTCTCGGAACCCCCCCCCACCACCACCACCCCGGTTCATACCAGACTGTCCTCCAGCACATCCTGTCTGCTGAGAAGGCAATCTCAGGCCAACTGGGTTTGCTTCAAAGGCAGCTTTCCCTGCCCCTTGAGTGCCATCTCAGGGGGGAAACCCAGGAGTCAGAGCTGGTAAACCCCTGCTGCTTTATCTTCAGGTAGGACTGTGTCTCCTGTCTTTCAAGCCCCCTATTTCCCTTCCTGCTGGTGAGCTGCTGGGCCTGCCACCTGAGGCCCCTCTCTATATTAGAAAGCAGTCCTCTGTCCTAACCCAAGAAACAACTGGAGGCCTGGTTGCCTCTGGTTTCCAGTCCTTCTCAAAATCCATGAGAATGACCGTGTGACATGAGTCTCATCTGTTTTCCTCTCAGATTTTCCTTTAGAAACAAAAATTGCCTCAGGGGCATCTTCTCTGTTTTCAGAGGAGAGGAAGAGAGCAAGGCTGAGTAGGAACTCTGGGGGTTATGGTCAGGAGCCAGGAAAGCCCAGCCTTCCAGTGTCCCCTCTCATCTCAGGGAGGTCAGCCCTTGCCTTCAGCCCTGCTCTCTGGCTGCTTCTCTACACTGGTAATAAATTCTGTCTTTGTCTCCCCTCTGACCCAGGCCCCAGGCAGGCTGAGGGTCAGAGTCTGGGGGAGGGGTTGCTGCAGAGGAGGGGGACAGACAAGAAGAGTGGGAGGAGGAGATGGACAGGAGCAGCTGGTGGACAGCCATGAGGTGTGCAGTGAGGGGATGGGGCCTTTTGATTATTCGGTGGATCCTGAACATTCCAGCAGGCTTGGATTCCAAGTGAGAAAGCCAGAGTTCCTGAGAAGATGTGGAGGTACCTTCAGAATGGCCTCTGGAGCATCAAGAATCCTGGGACATGGTGTGAGGTGCCTCAAAGAGGCCGCTAAAAGGATAATATTGTGGACATCATCCTTTTCAGCACCTCAGGCCTCTACATACATGTGTCATATGCACATGTGCACACACGTGATTTATGACCTGTCAGCATAAAGCAGCCCAGGAGAGCCGGCCTGCCCTCTTCTGGCCCCTCCCCAGCAGCCTTTTCTTGCTGGTCTTTTCCTGCCTCCATCTCCATTCTGCTTCTCTGCTCTAGCCCTGCTTGCTTTCTTTGTATAGGTTTCTCTCCCAGGTTGTCAATTTCACTTGCCTCTGCCTCTGTGGTTCACTGCTTCTCTTTCTTATGCCCCTCCTCCCCTTCCCTTACTTCCTTGACTCTCCATGTGTCTACCCTCTGACACTGTCATCCTCCTGCCTCAGTTCCACCATGAACCCTGTTGCAACCCAGCAGATCTTTGGGTGGCAGGTTACAAGGATGGATGGGAGGAAAACAGGTTCTAAATAGGTCCCTTCTTTAGTGGTTTCTGCTATGGCCGGGAAGTAGAGGACAGGGTGTGTGGAAGGTGAGCAGAGAGAGAAGAGCCACTAAAGGAGGAGAGTTGAAAAGGATCTCGGGAGACCCAGGAAGACAGGGAGAGGACACCAAAGGGCAAACACCAAAGAAAGAAGGGCAAGGACTTGGAGTTCCTGAGTGTTTGGGGTCAGGCTGAAGGGGCACCTGTGGGGTTATATGAAACACAGATGGAGACACAAGGCTCAGGGACCCAGCCAGAGATGTCCACAGCCCTAGTCACAGCTTCTTCTCTACCTAGGAACTTCTCAGAGGCCCCAGCCCTCTGCATCTAATTCTGGAATGCTGGTCCCATTCTGCTAAGGGACCCAGCCAGAGATGTCCACAGCCCTAGTCACAGCTTCTTCTCTACACCTAGGAACTTCTCAGAGGCCCCAGCCCTCTGCATCTAATTCTGGAATTAGATGGTCCCATTCTGCTGGCTTACTCCACTCCCATCCTCCCCTGTTGAGAATGACATCAGCTCTGGCTGCCACTGTCCTCAGTCCTGCTGTTGATTTCTCTCCCAGAGGCACAGCAAGGGTGTCGCCCTTCACCCACCCATTTCTTCTTCAGTCAGAAAGGGAGCCAGAGCTCCCCCAGCCCAGGGCCCTGCCGTCCAAGTGGGAGGAGGCTTTCCTGGCCTTGGTGGGAAAAGAGGGGAGCATGGGGGGAGGAGAGAGAGAGAGAGAGAGAGAGAGAGAGAGAGAGAGAGAGAAGCCTGAAGGGGGCACTTGAGGAGGAGACTGCAGCAGTAAATCACTCTGTGGGGGCTCCCTCTGCCTGTGCTCAGTGGGGTGGGGAAAAGAGAGACAGTGGGGTAGGGGCAGCATGGGGAATCGCCACATCTGGCAGGCAGGTGTCTGGCACTGTTCAGACGGCAGTCTCTTTCCCAGCCAAAGGGGAAAAAGGGAGGAGGGCCTCCTAGAATCCCCTGGGGAAGGGGGAAAGGTTCACAAACAGGAGGGGAGGCAAACCAGACAGTCTAAGCCCCTGCTGTGTCTGTTTTAGTCAGTGCTAAGGATGAGTTTGCAGAGTCCAAAAGAAAGTTGCTGGCCAGAGGACTGGGTAGGCAGGGGCACCAACATTTCAGTTTTTCTGGGAAACAGAAGGCTGGAGAAACAAGCTCAGAGTTCAGGATTTGAGAACTGAACGGGAAGAACTACGTTCTCATGCCTATCCGCTCACCAGCCCTCACCTCCTTAATTATCCTGCTCTCCTTAGCCAAAGGCTGCACAGGGCCATGAGAAGCAGGTTAGGGGCTAAAGCTGGACATTGCTTCTCACAGATCAGACAAAGATAGAGGGCATCATAGTTCTTCTCCCACGGATCCTCCAGCTTCCAGCGCAGGGACCAAGCAGGGATGGTCCAATACATAGCTTTCTATTTGCTTAAGGAGATCTTGGGCCCAGGTGCTTCACAGCTGCTGAGCCAAGTTCCAGGTTTTCACAGAGGAGGAAAGACTGTTAGAACCATAGGCTTCATGCCCTGCAGAGGCTCTTCCCATTCTGCCTCCTTCCTCCTTCCCATACCCTTGTCGGCCCAGGATTTGCAGGCCCACGTCAGACCAGTAGAGGTGACTGAGGAGACCTTTCAAATCTCAGTGGAGAGGAGGAGTCCCCACACTGCCCCCTCCTTAAAATCCTGCAGAGGAAGGGGGAAAAGAAAACCAAAGCATTCTCCTGTCGCCGCAGCAACCATAAAACCCCCAGCTAAATCCATCTTGTGAGCTCACCGCCCCATTAAGATGCAGGGCCAGGCTCTACGCCAGCCCAGCCACATTCATTTGTGCGAATAAAGGTGGAGGAGGGGGAGGGGAGCGGGCTCTGGAGGGACGGGGAAATGGCGAGAAGAGGTTATTTACACCACCGTCCTGACCTTCTGGAGCAGCGCTGGCTCCGATAAATAACCCGCTCAGCGCCGTTTCAGAGGAATGGGAGGTGCGGGAAGGGAGTAGGGGCTGGAGGAAAGCCCCCACGCAGGTGCGCGTCTCCGGGTTACTAATGGCTGAGGCGGGAGCAGGCAGCTGGCTTTGGGTGTGTGTGGGGGAGAACTCAGTTCCCTGAGTCTCCCACTGAGAAAATACCATCCCCACCCCACCCCTGGCGCCAATTTCCAGGCGAGGGGACCGAGAGATGCCAAGGAGGCAAACAGCCCCGTAAATTAGGGGTAGGGGGGAGTGCTGGGGAGTCTCTGAGGTAGGAAGGAAGAAATATTATAAGAGATGGGGTGGGGGCTGGAGGAACAGGAATAGCTGCCAAAACAGGGAGGAACAGAACCATCACACAAAGGCAGTTTGGAAGAGATGCACTTTATTCGTCTGACGCACAGCAACGTACAAGGTGGACTTCGTCTGACTCCATTTCTTGCAGAGGCTGCCCACTTCAGCCAACGCAGAAGGCAGAATTCTTGCTCTGGAGCGTTTTTTCTAAGATATTTTCACAGAGATGTAGGGTCAAGGGGCAACATTACACCCAAGAACGGGAATCCAAGCCCTGGAGGAAAGGGGCTGCACCAGACCCCCGCTTCCAGGGAAGGGGAGGTGGGGGTGGGGACGAGACGGGGGACCTCAACAGCAGATTGCAGAACCAAGGCAGTGGAATGTGAGTGGAAGAGCTGAGAAGGAACACGGCGAGGCCCAAGTCATTAAGGCCCCTTCCCAGGTTCTGAGTTTCTAGAAACTCTTCTGGAGACTACTGTAGTTTTAGTTCCAAGGTCTGGCTTTGCTCCAGAGTACCAAAGACCTCACAGGTGATGCAGGCAGAGGTGTGGTACAGACCTAGAGTAGGATGTTCTCATGTGCAGGCACAGCAGCTTTGAAGCTGAAGGGCCAGATCATGGTAGAGACTGCACTGCATAAGCTCTGACAGCATTTAAGTCACTGTTCCTCTGCAGATCTGTCCCCCTCCTATGAGCTGTTCCTCTTCCAAAGGCAGAGGACAGGGCAGCAGGAAGGAGAGAAGCTGCTGTGAGGCAAAGATGCACAGCCCCTGCCACTCCATACCCACTTGTGCTGAAGGAAGGAGTCCTCCCCTTTGCTGGACATATGGGCTGCTGGGATGAGAGCCCTTAAGGCACAGGGAGGAAAACACTCAGCACATTCTTTCTCCTGCTTTGATCTTAAGTAAGCCATAGAAAAGGGCCAAGGAACCAGGAGACAATGTGGGGGTAGGAGGACCAGTGTAGTAGGAAGAGGGTGTTTCCCCTGCCTCTTTCCAATCTGCCCTTGAGAGGGAAGGAAGGAGAGGGGACCCTAGGAAGGATGGAGGTGCAAGGGTCCACTGTGATTCCAAGATGACCCTAAGAGCATCTGTTGGGGGCCTGGATAGGAAGTCACAGCAGATGTGGGGTTTTGAGGGGCAAGGAACTGGGCACAGAGCATCTTCACCGAAGGAGGGACCACTTGATCTGTTCTTTTGCTGACTGTAGCACCTGCAGAGACAAAGGCAGCACTGAGGGGGGTTTGCACGCCACAGGGTGTGAGCAGGCTGAGGCTCTCCTTCCCCACACTTGCCTTCCCTCTCCTTAGAAGAACTGGGGATAGAAAATCCCAAGGGTGGAAGAATAGGAGGAAGCTCTCTAAGGCCCTAGAGGATTGTCAGTTTGGGAAATTCCCCCCGAATTCAAATCCACTGGGGGGATGAAGAGAGAAGAGGTATACCTGGGAGGAAAGAAAAAAAAAAAGCTGGGGGTTATTGGACACAGTTATAAAGAGAGGATCACACATCCAGATGGTGAGGATTCCTACTGAGCAAACCAAGAACCACTCCCTTGCAGGCCCCCAAATTAGGCAGACAGTCCATCGGCAGTCAAGGTAGAAGGGTGGATCTGCAAAGCCTGCACATTCCAGAATATGCATTTCCAGCTCAGCCCTCATTTGAATAATAAGAGAAAGAGGAGTGTGTGCTCACATGCACACAGACCATCTGTTTAAGGCAAGCCTCTGCTGGGGAATAAATCACGGACTGAGGTATCTGGCAGGGAAGGTTTGAAGGGTACAGAGAGCAAGGTTGACAATCATGATCACAGTGAAAGGAGACGAGTGGGGGTTGAGGACACTGTTCAATGAGTCCCAGTGCTCTAGAATAAGAGGGAGCCAGGGAACTTCACTGAGTATCAGGTCTCAATTCAGACTAGGCAGTTGGGGGTTCCTGTTAGTCTCTGTAGTAAAATAATCCTGTCCATGTGGAGAAGAGGAATAAAGAGAGTCATACCTGAGACACGGTCTGCTCTGTAAGGGGGACATCTTCACCCTGTATACAGAGATAAGCACTTAGACTGGAGCCTGGTAGAGGAAAAAGTGTTCCTTTAAACTAAAGCAAAGGCAAATGCCCTAAACTTCTCAGACCCTTCTTCCAAAGACTGAGCAACAATTTTATTTGGCCAGAGGGACTGTGAACACAAAAGGGTCATTTTATCCATCCTCCACCTAAAGGCAGGATGACTTCTTAAAAGATTTATTTCATTCCAAGTAATCAGCAGGATATCTGATCCTTACCTCTCTCAACTCTGGGGTGGGGGACCTGATTCCCTAGTCAGAGAAAACCTTCCCTGAATATCAATATGGAGGGGGTGGTAGAGGGAGCCAGGGGTAGCTTAATGGATCCTGCAAGGCCTGATGGGTAACGACGGCATGTTAATTTGAAGAAATAAACTGCTGCAACAGCAGCCTGAGAAGGGGAAGGGGGGAGCCAGTGGGGGGACTCTCTCTCTTGCCACATAGAGACATATGTTAGAGGAGAAGATTAAACTATGCAAATAGAGCCCACAGCAGTTAAGGGAGAAGACTTCCCATTACCCAGCACTGGCAGCCTTCACTCTGTGGAGGTCAGAGCTGGGACATTCTGGGAACTGGAAGCCCTGCTCTGCTCAGACATCTCTGCACCATGCAATTTACAGGTGGATTCTCTACTCACTATCAGCCCACTGAGCAGACACGAAGCTTCCTACCATTAACTCAAAGACCCCCTTTCTGGTGTCACTAGCACCAGGGAGGACTGAGGTGCTGGCAAATAAGCACTTATGGAGGGTTCCACTGGACTAAGACAGGAAAGATACTCCAATGCCTCTGATGACTAGATCCATTCTCAAAGAAACAAGAAGCCAACCTCAAGGTTTCCATTGTAGTTTCAGAACCATGAATATTAAGGTTTCTTTTATTTCTCTGTTCATTCAATATGTTTAAAGTGCCCATTTTTTTTGCAAAGACCATATAAAATGATAGGTGCCACATTAGAAACATAAACAAGTTCCTCTGCTTCTCTGGTACACTGACATGGAAAGGCCAAGAGAAGGATCCATACACCTGAGAGGACAGGATGTATTTATGAGTCAGACCCTCAGCTATACTCAGCAGGCCTGGCTTGGGAGGAAGTGTGGAGACATGGGGGTTGCACATTCCTGCTTACCCTCAAAGCCACCCGGTGCACCACTTGCTGGGGGTCACTCTCTAGGATCACCCTACAAACACAAAGAAGAACATTGATCACTTGTCCTGCCCCAAAGGTCCAACTTACTGTGAGGTCAGGATCACTGGCCGGTCAGCCCACTTGACTTAGAACAGGGGCAGCCACCTCCCTTCCCCACTCCAAATCCAGGCAGGACAGAGAACTCACCCTCCATCTACAATTTCATCCACAGCCAAGAAGAGCCCCTCCATATTCTCCAACAGAGCTCGCTTTTCTACATTTTTCCTGAATCCCCAAAAGAAGAGAAAAGTCAGGTTGTGTGTGAAAGGAACACTGGGCCTCTCTCTGCCTATTTTATAGGGGATCCTAAACTAGACCAGTAACTGTCTCCATTACCCACACCAAGAAGTGAGTAAGGTAAAGAGCTCTTGAGCTATAGTAATAAGAATGTCAAGAAACACCAGGCGTTGGTGGCACATGCCTTTAATCTCTGTGAGTTCGAGGCCAGCCTGGTCTCCAGAGTGAGTGCCAGGATAGGCTCCAAAAAATTGTCTCAAAAAACCAAAAAAAAAAAAAAAAAAAGCCAAGAAAAGGATTCCAAACAGCCAATTTCTAACTCCTAGCTGGTTATCCAGTCGCTGCCGCTAGTGAAGCTGCATGTAAAACAAACAAACAAACAAACAAACAAAAAACTCCACAGCTCACAATCTGGAATTGGTGCTGGTGGAAGGTGGGAGGGGGTGGAATGCACATCTGATCTGCACTCAGGCTCTGACAAACTTCCCAAGTCTCTCTGCCTCTCTCCTCCCCCCCATGTCTGTTCAAGCCCTAAAACAAAGGCCAAGGAGGGACTAGAAACAGTCAGGGACTGCACCCACCAGCCACAGATCCGGTGGTTTGTGCATGTGGCCTGTCACATCCGTCAGTACGACTCTTTTCTCTAGGTTACCCGAAATGAAGTCTATTCATTCACCTGGCTGGGAAATAAATCATCCCCCTTCCTGAGGAAACCTGAGCCTTTGGCCTGCTGGTTTGTGGGCTGAGAGCGCCTGCTGTTCTACTCCTGATGGATTTCTAAAATGCGTTCACTTAGGAGCTGCTGTGGGTTAAGTTCAGAGCCTAGAATGTTTTCAGAGAAAGTATCTTATATTTTCTCTTGCTTGTGTGCATGGGAACAGAGGGCTACTGAGGAGGTATAAAGGGCAAAGAACACAGTGGGCTCATTCTATGTACAGGGGAAGACTATAAAGGCTGGTAATGGAAAACTGGTAATGTTTCCTCAGTTCCCAAGGTAGGGATGCTTCACCTGGGACATTCCCCTTGTCCTTCTCCGCCTTCAACAGCAGAGGACAAAACCTAGGAAAACACCCAGGGGCTCAGAACACTGTCAGAATCACTGGACATGACAAGAGTAGACACAGGCCACTGTGGTGCATGCCTGTACTCCTAGCTACTCCAGAGGCTGAAGCAGGGAATTACATGCTCAAGGGCTGCCTGGATTACAGAGTTCTAAGACAGCACAGTAAGACCTTGTTTTAAATTAAAAGAAAAACACAATAAAAGGTTTAGGTGAGTAGCTTGGTGGTAGAACAGTTGCCTACCCTTGGCTTCAGTCATTAGTACTGCCAACGGAGAGGCAGGAAAGGGACAGAGGATTCTCTCTTAGTAAAGAACTCTCAGTTTTTTAGTAAAATTATTCCATACGAGGACAATCCTCTCCACTACCCACTCAGTGAGTTACCCACAAATAGCAAGCCCAATTTCTTATATCTTTGGTTGTGAGCCTAGCCTTTAATGGCTGAGCCATCTCTCTAGCCCACAAGCCCAATATCTTACACTGAACTAATTCTCCCATGTGGCTCTGATTTCTCACAATTTCTTGGGCCTGAGGGATAGGTACTTTCTCTTCCAAATTTAAACGGAGAATGGCTGCTCACCTCAGCATCTGGCTCAAGGAGTCAAAGAGGCAATTCAGAACAGCCATAAGCATCAACTGTTGAGAAAGGAGACAGAAGGTTCAAGGCCCTAAAACTGCTACCCCAAAGCAAAACTCTCCACTTTATTCCTCAGCAAAATGAACAGGCTTTCACAAATGACCAGATAATGTGCAGTGCAAAACAACAGCAAGAGGACTCTGGTTTCTCATAGAAGTTAATTTTGCTGAACAGTTCCACAAGCGAAGGGTTCTTCTCCCTCTCTTCCTCTCTCTCTCTTTTTCTCTCTCTCCCCCTCTCTCCCTCTCTCTCTATCTCTCTTTTTGACACTGTTTTTTTGTATAGCCCTGGCTGTCCTGGAACTTGCTTTGTAGACTAAGCTGGCCTCAAAGTCAGAGATCTGCCTGCCTGCTGGGAATAAATGCGCCACCCAGCTAAGTGGAGATTTCTTTAAGGCAGAAGTTCAAACAGAACTTTGCTGACATAGTCCTAATGTATCTTAGTCTTCTCTGTTTGCTTTTTGGAGATTTCTTTAAGGCAGAAGTTCAAACAGAACTTTGCTGACATAGTCCTCAATGTATCTTAGTCTTCTCTGTTTGCTTTTTGTTTATTTATTACTTATTTTTGTTTTTTTGAGGCAGGGTTTCTCTGTGGCTTTGGAGGCTGACCTGAAACTAGCTCTTGTAGGTAGACCAGGCTGGTCCTGAACTCACAGAGATCCGCCTGCCTCTGCCTCCCAAGTGCTGGGATTACAGGCATGCACCACCACCACCCAGCTTCTATCTGCTTTTTACTAATTAAAGATTTATTTACTTATTTACTTATCTACGTGTGTGTGTGTTTGTGTGTGTGTGTGTGTGTGTGTGTGTGTGTGTGTGTGTGTGTGTGTGTGTGTGTGTGTGAGAGCCACATGTGTACAGGTGCCCACAGAGGCCAGAAGAGGGCATTGGATCCCCCTGGAGCAGGCATTACAGATGGTTGTGAGCTGCCCAACATGGATGCTAGGAACCAAACTCAAGTCCTCTGAAAGAACAGTAAGCAATCTAACACTAAGCAATCTCTCCAACTGTGTTTGTTTTTTTGTCGTAGTGTCTCACATTGCTTAGGTTGGTCTTCAACTAGCTATATAACTGAAGATGATCCTGACTTCCTTACTATACTTCCCAAGTGCTAGGATCATAGGTGTACACTGTCATGCCTCTCTGCTTTTATGTTTCTTTAAAAGTTAGTTTATTTAATGTTATGGGTATGTTTGTCTGCATGTATAGCTGTGTATCACATATGTGTAGTTCCCAAAGAGGCCAGACGAAAGCACTGGATCTCCTGGGATTGGAGTCATAGACAGTTGTGAGCCACATGGGAATCAAACCAAGTCCTCTGGAAGAACAGCCAGTGCTCTTAACAGCTGAGCCATCTTCAGCCCCTATTTCTGTCTTTACCAAGCTACCTGATGGATTAGTAAAGACAGACATCATTAACCAAGCAAAAGCTGAGGCTAGAGGAAAGTGGCAGAAGGTCCTTTTTAAAAATTTGTTTATTTATTCATATTTTATGTATGAGTGCTGCTCTATATGTATACCTGCATGCCAGAAGAGGGCATTAGATCCTAGTATAGATGGTTACGAACCACCATGTGGTTGCTGGGAATTGAACTCAGAACCTCTGGAAGAGCAGCCAGCGCTCTTCACTGTTGAGCCATTTCTCCAGCCCCCCCACCCCCCACCGAGGCCCTTTTTAAAAATGGTATTAGGGATCAAAGCCAAGGCTTCAAATTTGCTAAGCATACACTTCACTATTAAGCTTAATTTCCAGCCCCAGCTTGGGCTCTTGAGTCAGAACTAGGTTTAAATCTCTGCTGATTCTACATGTGTTATCCTGAGAGAGAAAATGGGCCGAATCTCATGAAACAGCTACTTTTGTAATTTGACAAAAGCCAAATACAAGTAATTTTATATGGTTCTTTATAGTTTCGTTTCCTTGTTGGCAAAACAAAAACAGTAATACCTCCAACCCACAGAAGTGCTGCCAAGCTTAAACAATGTACTTCACAGACATGCGTAGCAGTGAGAGCTCAGTGGGATCTGGTCTCTCAAACTCTTAACTGTGATGGGAAATAATCTGGTGGCTTATTTACCTGTCTACTCTCCCAGAAGTTGCTGCCACCTGAAACAAACAGGACTACACTCACAAGTCCCTCTTAACAACACTGTGGGAACTTGGTGTACTGGCTCACACCTGTAATCTCAGCCTCGGAGAGGCTAAGACAAGAGGACTGCTGTGAGTTTGAAGCCAGTCTGAGCTTCAGTGTGACACTTGTCTCAAAACCAAACAAACAAAATTTACAACAACACTGTGTAGGAAAGGACACTAAAAACATTCTAATTGGATATGGTGACTCAGGCCTGTAATTCCAGCACCTGGAAAATAGATGTGATCTGAAAACAGCCTATGTTAACAGTAAGATCCTGCCCCTTAAAAAAAAAAAGACCTGGGAAAACTTCCTCTTTGACTGATTCTTTGGCTAGGCCATTCTGTAAGACTGACTGACAGGGATCTCTAACCGACTTCTTTATGACCTTGCCAGATATCAGAGGAATGTGGCTCTCCAAAGCTCAAAACCAATGGCTGGCTGTGTCCCATCCATGGCTTCAGAAGTGACATCAGAGGTAGCAAATGGGCAGAGATTCTCACCTCGTTTTCATAGGAGCTGCCAATCACATAGAAATAGAGATCGATGCTACTTTTATAGACCACTGTCAGCCCTTCCAACAGGGCAATTTCACCTTGGGGAAGAAAGCAGATACTGAATGGTGGGAGAAGAGGAGACAAAACAGGAGTCCCTGAGAATTCCTGGGGACAGCTGCGTGGGCTAAAGAAAGGCCAACTGCAATAACCTGCAAGCCCTGAAGCTATCTTATTGTTTAGGGTTAGCGGAAGGGACACAGAAACTCAGGGAGTTTAAATGGATGTTCTCTAGCCCTCCCTCCCCCATTGCACCTACTTCCCTCCCTATGTATGAGGCAGGATACCAGCGATCCTTCGGACGTAAAAATGCAGAGCGGTCACCTTTACAGGCTTCCATTTACCTGCCCTAATGGATGCGGTACAATAAGCAGGGCTGCAGTTAAATTTGTCAAGTGAGGCTCATAAATCCTGGGACTAGACAGGTAGCTAACAGCCAAGCTTCTAGCACAGTATTCCCGCGTGAGGTACACTCACCTCCCCATTACATTTCTGAAGAGTTTATTATATGAGGGGAGGAGGAAAAAAGAAAGAGGAGGCCGAGTCATTTTATCTTTTTCTGCAGTCCTGCTGACACTCTCTTCCCATAGTTCCCCCCAACACAGGGAATAGTGAAGGAGAATGACCTACTATCTGTCCGATGGGTCTTGTTGAAAATGTTCTTCTCAAAGGCCTTTTGCTCCTTGACACTAGGGTAGGTGTCGTCATAGTACTAGTGGAGGAAAAGGAGACAGGGTTGGGTCATCATAGCTGTGAGACCAGATGATTAGTGACTGTTCTACTCTGGCATCTTGTATGTCTCTCCTTCACGGCATGGGGTGGGAGAGGAATACTAAGATAGGCAAGAAAGGACTACAGAGGCAGGGAATGGCAGGAAGGGAGGGAGGGAAGGAGGGAGGGAGGGAGAGAGGGAGGGGAAAAAAAGGAAAAAGGAAGAAAAGAAGGGAAAGAAAAAAGTGCTTGCTGCCAAGCCTCACAACCAGAGTTTGATCTCCAGAACCCACAAGGTAGAAGGAGAGAGCCAACTTCCAAAAGTTGTTCTCTGGCCTTCTATAAGAAGCACACACAATAAATCTGAGAAAAAAGAAAAAAAAAAAAAAAAAGGAAAGGAAAGGAAAGGACTGTGCTATCATCAATCCTACAGTCCCACGTGTCATTTCTAAGACTCAGGGCAGACACCTGCCAGCTCTCCTAAGGAGACTCCACCACATGCTTCCTGGGAGCTGCCCTTGTCAGGGTCAGCGCTGGAGAAATAACCAAACTAAATGCAGGGATGTTTCCTCAGACTCTCCCTCACTAGAGGAAGACCAGTCCTGGGGGGGGGGGGGGTTGTTTTTCAAGACAGGATTTCCCTGTGTAGCTCTAGCTGTCCTGGAACTTGCTTTGTAGGCCCTAAGGGCCTTGAACTCAGAGATCTGCCAGCCTCTGCCTCTTGAGTGTCCAAATGCTAGGATTAAAGGTGTGGGCCACCACCCACTGGCTGGAAGACCAATCTTTTACTGAGCAGTGGAGAAAGGCCATACAAATCTCTTTCACAGCAAGGTAAGTCCATGCCCTGTTCTCCTGCACATCTTGGCTCTTTCTGCCTGCTGAGAGAAGGGGGCAGTCGAGCACTGAGCCCACTCCCAAGCACTCCTAGCAAGGGGCTGGAGATGCAGGCTGCTAAAGCGCCTGCTCTTTAGGGGCTAATCCGTTGCAGTCAGCTGAAGACCTATGACAGGTCTGGCATTTAGTAACTGGATAACTGTTTCCAAAGGTGTCCTGCATAGTTACATCCAATTACAGGGAGGAACAGCTGGTGAATTCTAACTAATCTCCACCTGCTGATTGATTTATGCTCTGCTCGCCCAGAGTTAATACACCAGGGACAGAAGACATTTCTACAGGGGGGGAGAACAGAAGAGAGGGGTGTCCTTTCTCTGCTCAATGCATCCAAAGTTACAACACCTCATGGGGCATGCAGCATGGTGAGGACTACAAACCTAGGGCTACAAGTAAGAAACTGGAAGACTCCCTGGACAAACTCAGGCTGAGTGACAAGGTAAGAGGAGGGGGCAAAAGGAGAAGGGGCAGATGGGACAGTCAGGACAGATGGGACAGACATAGACAGGCATTTCTAACATTGAGACAGTGTTTTGTTTTGGAGCTAAGGTTCTAAAGTTCTTCCCTGCTCTGAATAGGGTGACAGAGGAAGCTAAAGGTCTGAGCACAGCAGGAAGAAAGCACTCTAAGGGACAGAAGATTGGATTTATCTGGAGTGGGCAAGGTAAGTGGAAGAACTCTCAAAATCATCATACTCCTGAAGAATTTGAGTTAGTAGGGCCAATCCCAACACTTAAATCTCCAATGTCTCTGTCCTGCTCCTAAATTAATAAGAAAGGAAATCTCACCTTAGCAAAGAGTCGATCTCCATCATTGTCCAGAATCAGGATGGCCTTGACAGTGTACAGGGAGGGCTCCTGAAGAAACATGAACACACCTTCAGTTTTGAGGGCTCCACCACTACTAGCAAGCCTAATACCTTCCTTCCTTCCTTCCATGGTCCCACTGGGCTACAAAGGGTCACACAGGGGTCTGTGTGTGTCCCCTACTGCAGCATGGTCAGGCCTAATACCTCCCCCTGAGGATGACCAAGTGGAGGATGAACTGAACTGAGGGAGGGCTCCAAAGCAGACTCAGAGAAAACAGTCTGACTCACAGGCCTCCATCAAGGTAGGTCACACTGTTATTTCCAGGTCCTACGGCCAGTCATTTTCCAAATCACCCATCCTCCCTGGCCTCCTGGACACAGGTGAGCATGGAATGTGACCATGTTAATGAATGAGCGCTACTCATATGAAAGAAGGTTGTGCACTTAGAAGTCACTGCCGTCCCAAAACAGAGGCTTAAAGCAAGCCACTCTAAACCATCCAAACACAGCAGAAGAAAAGCACTGTGTACACACATGTGAACGCATGTGCACACATACACACACCAGTTCCCCGAAATAGACACCAACCAAAAATTCACGAATGAAACTCTTCCTCTGCTATATAGGAACCATTATCACTTAGTCTGCTAGAATAAAAATCAACCTGAATCTTAAGTGTGGTAAAAAGAAAATATTTGAGAAGCCTAGGGTCCAGGAGGTAGATAACAGGAGGGGAGTTTTCTTTCACTATAAAGAATGGAACTAAGGCTTAGGGGTGTTACAGTGCACGTTTAGCGTGCATGGGGCACTTTGTTTAATCCCCAGCCATTCCCCTATAAGCAGAACAAAATCCCAGAATGAAACAGAATTGCTGACATTGGAGCAGAGGCACTACAGCCTCAGCTCTGACAGTTATACTTAACACCTTTCCTCAACTGAAAACAGATGACTTAGGAAAAGCTGTTTTACTAAGTCTGGTGTTCTCTCCTCTATCCTCATAACTTTCAGAAGCGAAAAGTGAGAAGAGCTGGCATTGTGTACAGAAGGCCTCTGTCGCTCACATTATTTGATGACCTCACCAATAAATACTTTCTGCTACTTCTTGTGCCAAGGCAAGACTGTCTGCTTTGCTTTTCTGGTCTTAGGAAACTCACCCATCTTCTAAACATGTGTTTAACAAAGACACAAGGCAAAAGAAAGAATCACTGCAAGGATCCAGAAATTGCAACCCTATAGAGGTAAAGTGAGGCTCCAGGAGGGGAGGGGTGGGGCTCCATGTAGAAAAGCAACCCTAGCTCAAGAGAAATGGGGATTAACCAAGGTTTTTCTCCTCTTCTTCTTCTTTTTTTCTTTTTTTTTTTTTTTTAGTTTTCAAGACAGGGTTTCTCTGTGGCTTTGGAGGCTGTCCTGGAGCTACTAGCTCATATAAACCAGGCTGGTCTCGAACTCACAGAGATCCTAACCCAGGTTTCTCTAACCTTCATTTATTTATTTATTCATTTATTATTTGAGATAGGGTCTCTCAATATGTAGTTCAGGCTGGCCGAAAACTCACAAGATCCATCTGCCTCTGCCTCCTAAATGCCATCACTTATATTATTATTTGATGTGCATGGCTGTTTTGTCTACATGTATGCTTGTGCACTATTTATACGGTTGGTGCCCTTGGAGGTCAGAAGAGGACATCCCTAAAAGTAGGATTACAGATGCCATGTGGGTGCTATGAATTGAAACCCAGTTCCATATTAGAGAAGCCAACAATTTTTTTATTTTATTATTTTTTTTTGAGACAGTGTCTCACTATGTAGCTCTGGCTGTCCTGAAACTCTAGACCAGGCTGTCCTTAAACTCACAGAGATCCACCTGCTTTTGCCTCCCTAGTGTTGGAATTAAAGGTGCACACCACTATACCACCCAGTTTAAAAGCCAGTGTGCTGTTTCTCTGTGTAGTCCCAGCTGTTCTGGTACTCTCTATGTAGATCAGACTGATCTCAAACTCAGAGATCCACCTGTCTCTGCCTCTGAATTGCTGTGATTAAAGATAGGTGCTACCTCTGCCCAGCAGAAGCCAGTACTCTTAACTGCTGACCTCTCTCTCCAGATCACTAACCCAGTCTTTTGAAAATGGGATAAGAGGGCTGGAGCGATGGCTCAAGCAGTTAAGAACATTGACTGCTCTTCCAGAAGACCTGGGTTCAATTCCCAGCATCCACTCGGCAGCTAACAACTGCCTGTAATCCAGTTCCACCGGATCTGACATACTCACACAGACACATGCAAGCAAAACACCAATGCACTGAAAAATAAAAGAAGAAAAAGAAAATTCAATAAAAGCCAGGCAACGGTGGCGCACACCTTTAGTCCCAGAACTTGGGAGGCAGATCTCTGAGTCTGAGGCCAGCCTGCTCTACAGAGTTTCAGGACAGCCAGGGCTGTTACACAGAAAAACCCTGTCTTAAAAAAGAAAATGACCTAAGAAATCTGAACATTCATTCTGAACTCTCAATATTTGTTCAAAATTGAGAATAAAGTTTAAAAAGAAATCTCTTGTGACAGTGTACTAGAACTGGATTTTTACAGCTAAGTGGATTTTGTAGTGAGACCATTTTGGAGTGATATTATCACCAACCCACCCTCTCCTCTGACACACTTAAAACTGCCTAGGGGCTGGGGAGATGGCTCAGAGATTAAGAGCGTTGGCTATTCTTCCAGAGGATCTGAATTCAACTCCCAGCAACCACATGGTGGCTCATAACCATCTGTAATGAGATCTGGTCTGCAGGGATACATGCAGACAGAATACTGTATACATAATAAATAAATAAATATTTAAAAAAAAAACAAAAACAAAAAAACACCCCAGACACACTGCTCTCCAGAACAATGGACAGGAGCACCTCCTCTGCAGCCGGGGAACTGTGCTGTCTGGCAGAGGGAAGTCTTCTGAGTCTAGTCTAAAAAGCCACAAACAGAAGTTGTTCTTCTAAGTCCTAGCTCCACACAGAAAGATCACCACACACAGCAGGCTCTGTTCTATAGTAACTTGGCTGCTCAAGTACCAAAATCCAGCCCTCAATGGGAATGAGTTTCCTTAATGGACAAAACATGCCAAGAGAAGGAAATGGTTATGCCCCTCCATCCACACTCACGGCAACCTTAGAGGGCTTGCTGCCCACAAATTGAAACTGGACCTTAATCTGGCATTTGTGACTGTTCTTACAGCCAGATTCTGGCATTCCAGGAAGAAATGGGAGCACACACCCCCACCCCAGCACAGGCCAAAATCCCTAATGGCCACCTGCCAAGTAGGAGAGCCAACATTCTTGTGGGCAACACTGTCTAAGCACCTAAACAGCCATGCTGACAACCGAGAAACAGCTCAGAGTTCTGCTCTTGGCTCTATTCACTGGCTTCCTAAAAGATAAGATCAAAGAAACCTCAAAACAGAAACAACAGAGTCTTCTTAGGCAGGAAAAAAGACAGGAGGAGAGACCAGCTTTCAGGCACTAAGGTTCTGGGAATGGAGGGAAGGCAGGACAAAGATCTGATCATTTCAGATTTGCAAAGGAAAAGCTCCCACAAGGAAAGCTGGGGGCTTAATTATGCCGGGGAAGGACTGCCACTTGAAGGCATCACTCTGCTCTAGTAGAGTCAGCTCTCCTTCTCCTGCTACCTCCTAACTCTGGCTGGGCCCTCTTCACCCTATGGCCTTCATCTCTCAGGAGTGGGGAAGCCTGAGAGTTCCCTTCATATCATAAAACCAGCCAGTTTAAAGGCTCCAGAAGCCATTACTGATAATGTAATTTCACTCCAAGTTTTGCAAAGGGCACATTTATAAATAACTCCCAGATACTGAGAATGAGCTTCCTGGACAATGTATTTGGCTTTGACCTTATAATACATTAAATGCTGACTCTTGAAAAAGACCCTACAATCTTAGGACCATACTCAAAAGACTGAAAAGATCTATTCTTCCCTCTAACTTCCCAAATGGGCAGCTGCTAGAAAGCTTTCGAGACAAAGTTCTGTGATGCACTGACTTTCAGAGCCACAGCCTGAGTGTATAACAGAACTTCACCTCAAATGCTAACAGTACCTGGAAATGATGGATAGGCAGACTGGCTTGTGGGAGGAAGAGTAGCAAGGATAGATTTTCATGTCTGCTTTTATTATCAAGAAAACTAGAAAGCTGTCCTCATCCTCAGGACAGCTGAAATGCCATCCAACAAGCAACGAGGCTGCTGCAAATAGCTCTCTGATCTCAATCAGGGACTCCTGAAGCCTGGCTGAAAAATCATGTCTGGGAGGCCCACAACACATACTGGGAGGGCTAGAAGGAGGAGTCCTTTCCAGTGCTGCCCTCTGTGGGCCTTCTTGCTGACTTGTAAGCCTAAGCAATTGGTGCTGGAAAGCCAGTGTTTTAGGGCCCAGGCTATTTGGGCAGATTGCTTGCCTAAGGTGTGAGACTTTGTGTTCAACCATACACACAAATCAAAATAAAGAAAAAAAAA